TATGTTCCCTGCAGGGAAAATTGAAAAAAAAAAAAAAAAAAAAAAAAAAAAAAAAAAAAAAAAAAAATCTGAGAGAATCTTACTTGGAAGCATTTTGTAACCCATTTTGTGCATTATTTACCCCAAAATAAAATTACAAAATTTCTGTGAATTCACTCAAATCCAGGCTACAAATCTGATGGTAAAAACTTGAAGTTTTTACTTTATATTCTTTGTGGATATGCAGGAAGAATTCTGATAGACGTTAGTGCATTCTTGATGTCTTGATGTTAATGCAAATTTTATTTTTTTATCTGACTCTTTTTTTTTTTAAATTTAGGTATCATTCTTTCAAAGTTGCAATTGAACATCTCTCAGTTAGTATATGATCTCAAACTTATTTTTGAAACATGTAAAAATACCAAAAGGGTTGTTAATCTTTTGATGAGATAAAATTACTTCTGAAAGATAAAATTAGCATGCTGGAAATTTTCCAACAATTATATTTTTACAGTCCTACTATGTATATTATACAGTATATTCTTAAAGAATCACTACTCTGAAATATACATTACTTACATCTTTTGCAAACTATATTTTGCTAAAAAATATAATATTTTAAATTTTAAATACTATATTAATTTTTTTAATCTCTCATTATTTATGAAGAATGATCCATACTGTATAATATTGTTATTGTGCGAAATATAATATTAATGAAACAGGCATCCTGGTTTTGGCTAGGATAGAGATAATTTTCTTCCTAATAGCTGTTTCAACACTGTGTTTTGGATTTAGTATGAGAACAATGTTGGTAACACACTGATATTTTGGTTGTGGCTCAGCAGTGCTTACCCTGAGTCAAGGACTTTTCAGTGTCTCCTGCTCTGCCTGTGAGGAGGGGCACAAGAAGCCAGGAGGGAGCATGGCCAGGACAGGTGACCTGAACTGGACAAAGGGATGTGCCATACCACAGAACATCATGCCCAGTGTATAAACTGGGGGGAATTGGCTGGGAGGTGCAGATCACAGCTCAGGACTGGCCTGGGCTTCAGTCAGCGGGTGGTGAACAATTGTGTTGTGTATCACTTGTCTTTCTGGAGCTTTATTCCTCTTTTTTTTTTTTTTTTTTTTTTTTTTTTTTTTTTTTTTTTTCCTTTTTTTTTTCTTACTATGAATATTGCTATGGTTGTTGTTCCCATAGTGTCCAACTTTATTTCAATTATTAAAGTGATGTTATTTCAGTCTATGGGTTTTAACTTTTTCTGATTCTCTTCCCTATCCCACTGTGGTGGGGAGAGTGAGTGAGAACCTGTGAGGGGGATTAGTTACTGGCTGGGGCTAAACTATGACACAGAATTAAAGAAAAAATGGTTTAAAATAACTGATAGGTCGAAAGCACACTGATCCCATGACCCAGAGTTCAACAAACAGAAATGAACCTGCAGCATCCATATTTTCTGAAAAACAAGAAAGAAAGTATAGGGTAAGGGGGATCAGTTTTTCAAGGGATGATAGGCTACCAATAACAACCTGCTTTGTGCTGCACTATTCAGCATATTCATAAATAGTCTGGAAAAGAGCGGAGCAGTCGGTGACAAAGCCTGATGAGGCTATTATTTAGGTTAATAAATATGAGACAACCTTGATTATGTGCAGGAAAGTTTATGGGAGTGACCGTACAATAAAATTGCAGTGGAGTTCAGTGTAGATACAAAGTGTTCCACAAGAGGAAAAGGACCCTTACTTCAGATAGGCAATGGCAAGATTTGGTCTGGTCATTACTTCTTAGGAAAGAGAGTCCTGGAGTTAAGAAAATGGCCCTATGAGAACATCAACCTGGTGATCACCAGATTAAAAATATAAAATAAATTTTAAAAGTACTAGTAAGTATTAAGAAATCAGCCAAGAACAAAATAAATAATATTTTTTGTTGCCACAAATATCCATATTTTGCTTGCATCTTCTGTATAGGTAAAGAATCATAGAAATATTGGTTGAGAGGGACCTCTGCAGGTCATCTAGCTCAACCTTTCCCTTGAAGCAGGATTACTGCCAACACTAGATCAGATCAGCTGTGGCTTTGTTTAACTGAGTGTTGGAAACCACCAAGGATGGTGATTCCACAACCTGTCTGGGTAATTTGTTCCAGTGTTGTAAGTTCCTTTTGGTGAAGAAATTTTTCCCCATTACCAGTTTGAACCTCCCTAGCTGCAGCTGTAGCTCGACACAGCTGCCCAATGTGAGTAAGCTGTTGCTCCTTGCCATGGCCAAGAAGTGTTTAGCTGCATCTTCCTTCAGATGCTTTTCTGGTCCCTGAATTTCAGCAATAGGATGGAAAACAGCAAAGTTTTTGATGTAAAGCACAGATAACTTAAATAGAATTCTTCAGGGTAGGAGAGGAGTTACAGACTATATGATAGATAACTAGTGAGCATCAAATGAAGATAGCAGTAGCCAGGTTGAAAAGACACTAAAAGAGGCAAGATTTCACACAATGATATGTTTGACCTGGAGAATTTGTTACCAGACCAGGCTGTAGATACTACAGATCCATATAGGTTAAAGGGAAGACAAGCAAGAACCCGACAAACAAATCCAGTGAAGGTTACTAGATCATAGAACCTGCACCTGCCTCATAAAGTCTCTGAGTCTGAAATATTGGTGGCAGTGAAAGTGCTGGAGGGAACTACTGCCTTCAGTAATGCAACCCGATACTGGTCTAGCAAAGCCTTTGGTTTCACCCAGTGTGGAAGCTCTCATGTTCAATATATCATTTGTAAAACTTAACTACTTTGCCTACATTTCTGTCTTGCCTTGCTAATTACATTGGTAATTATTCAGGTAATTTTCTCTGGCACATGAATTATTATTATATTATTGTTATTTTTCTTTGTTTTTAAGTTGTGCACACAAACAACAACAAACCCAGAATTGCAAATGAAATCTACATTTTGAAGAAATAAGCCTCAGTCTTCAAAATGAAACTGCAGGCTGCAGTTTGCTGGACAAAGCCTCATTTCCAATCTCTATAAATTTGGGTCCACTAAGTTTTTGAAGTTAGGACTTTTAAAGGAAGGATATGCTTATGATTAAAACAATGAATCTGGACTCTGGAGATCTCACTCTGATCTCCAGCAATGCCACAAATTTCCTGCTGGTTTTGGCAAATCAATGGTCCTTCATTTAGCATGAAATGAGTTTTCAGCAGATGAACTCAATGGAAGTGCTTGGATTAAGCACTAGCAGACCTGCTTAGTGAGGGTACGTTTCACCTTGTGCGTTTGTGTGGCAGTGGAAAGCTTTGGGGAGGGCCCTGCTGTAGTGTCAGGGGGTGATCCAAGGAGGAGAGACCTCCACACAAAGCTTTCTGCCTGGTGAGGAGAGACCACAGCAACCCCGAGGGAAAGGAGGGAGGCAAAGAGGAACAAAGTGTGACGAGGAGAGGAGGAAGGTGCTTCTAACCTGGCCTCTGAGGCCCAGAGGAGCGGGAGTGGTCCAGAGGAGGGGGGCAGGGAGGGTCCCTGAGGAACAAGCGCTCCGGAGGAGCGGGGCTGGGAGACAGGGGCGAGGGCAGAGGGGAGCGGGCAGGCCACGGTCCGTGGGAACGCCATTCCCCGCTCCTCGCCTTCCCCGGGAGCGCTCCGGCGGGGCGGGGGAGCGGCGCTCCCCGCTGCCGCCCGGTGCCGCCGCCCGCGCAGGTGGAGCGGAGCGCACGGTGCGAGCCCCGCTGCCCTTCCCTTGGGACGGGGTGCCTCCCCCTCGCCGCTCGTCCCCGCCTCCCACCCCCCGGCAGCCTCTCCCGCCCCATCCCCGTGCGGGGCACCCGGCCCCGCGCCCGGCGCCCAGAGGAAGCCGCCGCCGGGGCGATGCGCCTCCCCGCTCCGCAGGCAGAGCCCCTTCCTCTCTTCCCTTCCCATCCGAGGAGACACCAGGATCTGCCTCCGCTCCCCTCGGCCCTCCCCCTCGGCTTCCTCCCTCTCGCCTTCTATTTCTTCCCCCCCCCCCCCCCGCCTGGGAAGACCTGGCCGCTCCCCCCGCCCCGTCCTCAGTAGCCGCGGGCGCTGGGCGGCGGACGAGCGGCGCGGAGCGGGGAGCCGGGAGCCTGAGCCCCGGGGCTGCGGCCGCCCTGCCCTCCGTCCGTCCTGCGGGCTGCCAGGTATGGCCAAAACCCTTCCCGGCGTCGGTCCCTGGGGAAGAGGCAGCCCCCAGAGACCTGGGTGGGCAGGAGCGGAGCTGGGAACGGGGGCTGAGGGGGACCGGCCAGTGCGAGATAACCAGCATCTCTAAGGTGATAGTTTTTTTGCGATGTCATTCTTTCTATGCGGGTCGTTTTTTAAAAAATGATGGTGCTGAGCGATGTCAGTACCTTGAGACTGGCAGCTGAGATGTTTTGTGTAAAGTTCCTGCCTCTTTAGCCTGATGGATATATTTTTGATAGGACTAAAACGCCACGCATTTATCTGGTCCTTATTTTTTCATATTTGAAACCGGTTTCACAAGACGGCTTAACGGGACTGAGGCAAGGGGCATATTTATTGGGTTTTTGGGGGTTTGTGTCTGTGCTGTACCTTCTGCGAGGAGCAAACAAGGAGCCTCCTGACCCTTCAAAACAAACTCCTTTAATTCTAATTCATCCCCTCAGTATTAGCGCTACCATCTCCGCGCTCCTCTGGAATTGACACTAATTTCATCCAGATTCGTCACTGCTGGAAGTAGATTTGTCTTGGAATAGCAAAAATAAAAGAGCCGTGCCAAGGTATTTAACTTGCAGGCTTTGTAGAGACGGGAATTTCCTTCGGACCAGGCGCGGAGAAGCAGAGCCTCCTGTGGAAAGCAGGACCAGGGAAGGCTTAAGGAGAGATAAAGGCTTACTCTCCAAATCCTCCTCTTCTTCCAGGACAGCCCTGGGCTTTCACGCGCGAACACATAGGAGCGGCCAGCAAAGCGGAGAGGGCAGAGGGAAGGCGGCCATCCCGGCAAAGCCCTCCCGTCCCGGCCGTTTCTCTGGCCGGTTCCCGGTCTGTGCCCACCCGCTGCCCGGCTGGCAGGGCTGGACCCCCGGAGCCGCTCAGCAGTAGAACAGTGGCCGGGGCGCGACCTCCTTCCCGTCCGCCTCCTCCCGGCGCGGCGGAGCGGGGAGCGGGGAGCGATCCCGGCCGCGGGAGGGGAGCGGGGAGCGCGGAGCGGGGAGGGCGGAGAGCGGAGCGATCCCGGCTGCGGGAGGGGAGCGGGGAGCGATCCCGGCGGCGGGAGGGGAGCGGGGAGCGATCCCGGCCGCGGGAGGGGAGCGGGGAGCGGATCCCGGCCGCGGNGGGCTTTCACGCGCGAACACATAGGAGCGGCCAGCAAAGCGGAGAGGGCAGAGGGAAGGCGGCCATCCCGGCAAAGCCCTCCCGTCCCGGCCGTTCCCTGGCCGGTTCCCGGTCTGTGCCCACCCGCTGCCCGGCTGGCAGGGCTGGACCCCCGGAGCCGCTCAGCAGTAGAACAGTGGCCTGGGCGCGACCTCCTTCCCGTCCGCCTCCTCCCGGCGCGGCGGAGCGGGGAGCGGGGAGCGATCCCGGCCGCGGGAGGGGAGCGGGGAGCGGGGAGCGGGGAGGCCGGAGAGCGGAGCGATCCCGGCTGCGGGAGGGGAGCGGGGAGCACGGAGCGGGGAGCGGGGCGGGCGGAGAGCGGAGCGATCCCGGCTGCGGGAGGGGAGCGCGGAGCGGGGAGCGGGGAGCGATCCCGGCCGCGGGAGGGGAGCGCGGAGCGGGGAGCGGGGAGGGCGGAGAGCGGAGCGATCCCGGCCGCGGGAGGGGAGCGGGGAGCGGATCCCGGCCGCGGGAGGGGCGCGGGGAGCGGATCCCGGCGGCGGGAGGGGAGCGGGGAGCGATCCCGGCCGAGGGAGGGGAGCGGGGAGCGATCCCGGCCGAGGGAGGGGAGCGGGGAGCGATCCCGGCCGAGAGAGGGGAGCGGGGAGCGGATCCCGGCCGAGAGAGGGGAGCGGGGAGCGGATCCCGGCCGAGGGAGGGGAGCGGGGAGCGGATCGCGGCCGCGGGAGGGGAGCGGGGAGCGGATCCCGGCCGCGGGAGGGAGCGGGGAGCGGATCCCGGCCGCGGGAGGGGAGCGGGGAGCGATCCCGGCCGAGGGAGGGGAGCGGGGAGCGATCCCGGCCGAGAGAGGGGAGCGGGGAGCGGATCCCGGCCGCGGGAGGGGCGCGGGGAGCGGATCCCGGCCGCGGGAGGGGAGCGGGGAGCGGATCCCGGCCGCGGGAGGGGCGCGGGGCTGGAGCGGGCGCGGAGCCGCTGCCGGCGCTGCGGGAGCGCCGCCCCGCGGCCGCGGCGGGCACTGCGCCGCTTGCTGGCGGTCCTTCCTTTTCCCCGCCCGGCGGATTTCAGGAATGAGCTGTCACGCCTGCCATGTAAAATTAGCTCTTCCTATGAGTACTGAAGCTGCCTAAATTTTTGCAAGAGACAGGAGCCGCAGTAGGGGTTTTTTTTTTCGCAGATCAGAGAGGAGGACAACATCCTTACACCACTGTATAGAGTGAGCGCACCTGGAGGAGGGAAGGGGAAGCAGTGGTGGGTAAGATTAGGGCAATGTTTTCTTCCAGGGAGTGTGAGATATCAAAAATTTGTTCTCTGTTTTGCTTTGTCAGAGTAGAACAGTGAATTCCAACTTCCAGGTCATTTCAAGAATGAGACCAAAAGCAGTTAAAGGAGATGGGTACTATAGAAGCCTCTGTTATTTTAGGGGTTAGAAAATGGATTTTAAATTGTGTAAGCTTAGTTTGAAATGTGTCAACTTTTCTACAAGAAGAAGGAAACCCCAGGGTAGAGGCTGCACTGAACAGACCAAGATAAAACACTGTCAGGAAGTGGGACTGAATTGTTCTTCTGTCTGAGCTACACTGGCATGTAAATTTCTTTTATGATAGCCTGAAGAGAAACCTATTCTAGTTCGGCTTGACTATAAGCCTTTTCCTGAGCATCTGACGTGCATTCAGCTGGAGTAAAGTAAGACAAAATATTGGAAGGATATCCTCAAAAATTAGGTAGTTGTTTTTTTTTTTCGTATGGGTGCAGAAAGGTTTAATTTTGAAAGCAAGAAATGAGAAGAACTAGAAGTAGTTTTATTTGTATGTATATGCCTAGTGGCTGGAATGCCACCAAAGTTATCAGCTGAGTTTGGAAACTGGAGGAAGAATTTCAACATTCAGAGCTGGGGATCTCTCTCTTTCTAGTTTCCATCTTGTCTTCTCTTAAGCCAATTCATCGTATCTTAAAGAGCTGACTCAAGAATTTCAATTACTGTAAGCCAATCCAAAATCTGTATGGAAAAGGAGTGAAGGAAAGGAGAGGGCAGAGCATCTTGGGGTGGAGGAGGAGTGGAGAATGGGTAATTGAGGGTTTTTTTTCTTACAGTCAGCATGAATCCTTCTCAGGACATTTCCTCCTTCTCCTGGAGGCTGTATTCTCTCTCCCTTTCTCTCACCCTGAACTTATCTTTGCACCCATCTACACATTTCTGTCCTCATCATCTGGCAAGAGGAGCCCTGTGTTTCCCTTTAGCCAGCAGCCTGTGCTGGGCCATGGCAACTGCTGACATTGATCATGCTTGGATTTAGCCTCCCCTAAACAGTAGAGATGGGGTTAGTAAATAGATCTTAAATGCATGGCTGGAAATGACAAAGCTGCCTAGCAGAACCACTGCTCTGGTCTGTAATGAGAATTACCATGTTTATCAAGTTCCTTGAACTTCTTCCAGTTATCCTGAAGTGTAGTTAGTTCATTCCCAGTGACAAGTGGTTCATTATAAATGAATTTGGCTTCCAAGACTGCCTTTGTAAGTAGTGAGCACTTGAGTATTGTGTTTCAAATGGAGGGCTGCAAGGGATCTATGGAAGGTTCTGTGCTTTGTTTTTTTCTTTCTAAAGAGTGCCAGAAGGGAGCCATAGTACTCCACCCATTTGCTTGCAGAAAGTCTCTCTATAAAACAGAAAGAAAAAAAATTGACTTCTCTATAAATTTACTTATGAGATCATCTGGGAAGACATCAGCCATCACAGTGGAATTATATCAACCCAGACTTTCTATGTCAACAAGCAGTTAGTGACTGAGCTTTCCTTAGGGCTCACAAAGTTCAGCTACAGAGAAAGATCAAATAGCCAGACCCTTAGGAAAAGCTGAGAAAGGGAGGAGTATTCTAGGGAAAATTAGAAAAGTAATTCTCAAGCCTGATATTAGAACTGTCTTGTTCAGCAGTTATATTAGGGCAAAGAAAATTTAAAACAGATTTTCTACATTAATAATACATTATTTATCCTGAAACCATGCTAGTTTGTGACAGGCTGGAGATAAGGACACAGAGATGCTTCCTCATACAACATGTAGTTAAGATGTGTGACTCCTGGATGCAGAATATTATGGCTACAAAATGATATGTGTATTCAAAGGAAGACTGTCAAACTATGAAAGAGGAATTAAGTAAGGTTTACTTACACTACAGAAACTACCTCTGTTCTAAAGTCCACCAGGTACAATTGCTTGTAAGTTAGTTAAGAAACTGTGAGGGAGGAGGGCCATACCTGGTTGCCCTGTTCCTGTCTCTATCCTCTACCCTAGGCAAACACATTTAGGCAGTGTCAGAAGCAGGATTTTAGGAAGGCCTTTGGTCAGGCCAAGAAGCTACTTTCATACTCTCATTATAACATTTTTTGGCACCTTCTAGCTCACCCACAGATATGTAAAATAGTAATTCCTCCTCAGATTTAGTGCTAATTGAGCAATAACTGAACCAACAACTTAAAGTTAACTTTGTATATCAAAGTTAATGTTTAAATGTGCACATTTCTGCTATACCAATAAACTAGACTGGTGTGAACACCTGGTGTCCTTCTACAAAATCTTGTGTTTGGGGTGATTCCCCAGCTCTGCTTTCAAAACTTTCAGATATCTTTTCATATGACCACATACACCCTGGAGCTCAGATCTGTGAGTCACTGTAATCTCCAGATGTCTTAGGAAAGTCCACACATCTTCTCCAAAACCTGAATTAGTTACTTTAAAGCCAGGGAGGGTTTCCTTGTATTCTAAAATGTATCTATCTATATATATCTCCTAGTAAGTGGACTCCATTTCAAAGTTGGTGTTCCATCTGGCAGAGGTGGAAAGTGTTAAAACTATGCTAAAACAAATCCAGCCTCTTCTTGGCATCAGGAGCAACAAGCTGTGGTTGAACTGTAGTGTTATGTAACTAAAAAAATTATAAATATTACTTATTATAGACAACAAATATGTCTATAGGGTAAAAATGCCTTAAAAATCATAGGAGTCACTGGTCCATTATGCAGCTTTGAAGGCAATGTTTCCCACTGCTTTTTCCATACACCCCTATTTTTCATGCTAGACCTTCAGTTAGCCTGTAGCCAGGCTGTTTCACTGGAGAGCACCACTTCTACTATTCTAAACTAAAATTAAGGAAAGTGGTTACGTTTGCTCTGGCCTACACTGCCACTGCAATGTAAACCAGAGAGCTAAACCACATACAAATCCTTGAATTGCTTGGCTTTTTAAGTTTAATCATAGACCCTTTCTTTCTTCACTGCTGAGGTTTCCATGTAATTGGAATGAAGGATGTTGGAACCGAGCACAGGTTTCCCAGTGGCAGCTGCCAGTAGTTGGATAATGCCATTGACATCAGTGCTGCCAAAAGAGAAAAATGGTCTTTTCAGTAATGTTTTGAGTTCAGAATCAAGAGTTCTGGGTTCAGTTTCTGGCTCTGCCTCAGACTTCTAACAATGTTACATTTTTCCTGCATGTTTCCCAACTAGAGATGGGAATAATACTGTTTTTTCTCTTTCCCATTTAAAGTATTAGCTCTTGGTGTGGTGGATCACCCCATCTAGGTGGGTCATTCTACATGTGACCATAAGGCACAGACAGCACAGTTCCTACAGCCTTTGTGGGATCCTGAAAAATGTGATGAGTAACCAAACTTGTCCTTTCTACTCAGCTGTGCTTTGCTGCATGGATATAAAACCAGGAAACTCCTCTACATCAGCAACATTCTCCTTTCCTCATTTTTCTGTCTATCCTGGAAGACCTTGGTTCCTTGGAATAGTGGTTAGCAAAGTGCCATTTTTCATACAGGCAGATTCATAGTTATCAGCTGGGTGTGTAATGGGGAACCTTTGCTGACTTTTAAGTCAGCTAAAGCCATGTTTTGGCCATTGCATGAAAGAGCAAAATCGGTTTGGTTTCCCAAGGATTCCTAAGTCTCATGAGTGTAGTATGTCTATCCATGTCTGCTTAGATCTCAACTTTTGAATACACTGAGGGTTTTCAAGTGTGTTCTACCTTCAACTATATAGCTGTAGAAAAGAGAAACAGAAACTTAATATGTAACTGCATACCTTTGAAATAAATAAAACCAGGATGATCTACCAAGTGGAATGACCCAGACTCTCCACTGAGGGAAAAACAGGTAAAACTCAGATGGTTTCATCTTCCAGTAGGTAGCTCAGCATGGATGCTGGCTGAATTATCTGCATCCATCTTTCTAGAAACGATTGGAAAAGTCAGAGGCAATACAAGGACTATCTGAGGCACTTCTATTTTGAGCAGATTGTAGAATTCTGCTCCACTGATGTCAGTTCTAAAATTGCATGATTATACTTAGAAGATAATAAGATAACGGTATATATTTCCAAAGTGTATTTTCAAATCTCTCTTTCTTGTTTTAGAAAAAAGTAAAATAAAATGGAGCACATGTTACTGCTATTCCTAATTTTCCTACCTATATTGGGTCTCAGTAATGGAACAGAAACTGAACAAGATTTTACTTGGCACTTAAAGAAGATTCCCCAGATTGTGAGAGAAAGAACTTTCTCCCTTGACAGCCCTAAATTTGAAGCAAAAACCAAATTAGAGCTGAACAGTGTATGTGGAATTGAATGTCAAAGAAAACTGCCAGTGCCAAGCTTGTCTGACTTGAAGAGCCTCTTATCCTATGAGACTGTTTTCGAAAATGGCACACGGACCCTGACTGAAGTGAATGTCCTCGGAGCAGTGCCTGACCCAGCTGCAAACACAACCACACAAAGACCTCTGAGAAAGAAGAGGCAGATCTATGGCACAGACAGTAGGTTCAGCATCTATGACAAGAGGTTTATGACCAACTTTCCATTCAACACAGTTGTGAAGATCTCCACGGGCTGCAGTGGCATTCTCATTTCCCCCAAGCATGTGCTGACAGCAGCCCACTGCCTGCACAATGGCAAGGATTATGTTAAGGGCAGCAAAAGACTGAGGGTGGGCCTGATGAAGACAAAGTCCAGAGGCAATGGCAGGAAACGCAAAGGTGCTAAGAGAAGTAGGAGAGAAATTTCTGCGGCCAAAGAGGATCCCAAAGCCACCACAGAATTAAGGCAACGATCCAAAGGTGATGAGAGAAAGCAGCGGGGATCTGGGAGGAAGCAAGGTACCTCAGATGGCATGCCCTCCTTCCAGTGGACCCGGGTGAAGAGCACTCACATCCCAAAAGGCTGGTTTAAGGGTGTCTCTGGGGATATTGCACTGGATTATGATTATGCTGTTCTTGAGCTCAAGCGTCCCCACAAAAGGAAATACATGGAGCTGGGGATCAGCCCAACAATCAAAATGATGCCTGGGAGCATGATCCACTTCTCAGGTTTTGACAATGATCGGTCTGGGCAGCTGGTCTATAGATTTTGTAGCATTTCTGATGAGTCCAATGATCTGTTTTATCAGTACTGTGATGCTGAGCCTGGCTCCACAGGATCTGGCATCTATCTCCGTCTGAAGGAGCCAAACAAAAAGAAGTGGAAACGCAAGATCATCGCTGTGTACTCAGGCCACCAGTGGGTGGACATCAATGGTGAACAGCAGGATTACAATGTAGCGGTACGAATAACTCCTCTCAAATATGCCCAGATTTGCTTCTGGATACATGGGAACGATGAGAATTGCACACAAGGCTGAAAAGAGCCGAGCCTCAGTTGCTGAGCACCCTCGCTGCCATAGAGTGAAAGGCGGCTGCAACAGTGACTGGAAGAACATCACTCCATGCCAGAATGTTCTTGAACTCAAAGCTGTCAAGTAGTGCTATGGTGACTTAAGGAATGCTGAATTTATAGGGGAACGGTAGAATTGTCAGACAAACTATTTCTAATTGTAATCAACCTAGATATGCACTTAAAATCCCAAACTATATTTATGTTTGCAATTGTGATAAATTCAAGTCCTTATTGAGGAAAAAATTGGCTGCACCGGTTTATCATTTTTTTCCCCAAAGGAAGAGTTGAAACATCTCATACTGGTGTTATTAAACAATATCTATTTTTTTTCCAATGGATTTACTTTTCTCAGGGTTCTGTTCCAATTTTCAAATGCAAGTTGTGCATATAGCATGTTCCTGTCTGTGCAGAATGATCCAGAGAACTGCATGAGAACAAGGCTTTATTCTGGCATTCTCTAAAGACCACAGGTCCATGCTGAGAAGCAGCACTATAGTTAATGATTGTTATTTTGGAAAACTTCCTCTTCTGGTTGCTGCAGGAACACTCCCATGGAAATTACAAATTTATGTAGCTGAGGGTTACACCTTAAAGAGAAAGTCACTTCATTGCTCAGTAAAAACAGAAAAAAATAAATTAAAGTTTCTATGTTTAGAAGAAGACACATTTGGACATAGTTCAATGCCTTTAAACATTCTTAGAGAAGCTATAGAAATCTTAAACACATGCATTTGCCTTCCAATTAGTATTTGGAGAGCTGTAGGTTTAGTTTCTAGTCAAAAGTTTAGCTTTACCACTGGGAGAAGTCACTGACTCCTGAAGTGGCTACTTGACAATCATTTGGAGCTTCATAGATGAAATATTTTCTGGGTGCTAAACATTTCTTCCGTTTTTATAAATTACTTTTATACGAGTTCAGCTTCATAGATATGATAGTATGTATTAGACTGGGAGTTGGAAATCAATATTTTAGTTTGGCTTTATACAGTTTGGCAAGGTGTGTAGTTTTAATCATGTTATATTCAGGCTCCACCTCAACATGATTCACAGGGTTAACTAAAAAATTTCTCCCAACTAAATTATAGCACCTTCTGAGTGGTAGAACTATCCTGTATATTATAAAAGGTATCTTCTTAGACAGCAGCAGTAGTTAGCAAATAATTTGGTACAATATGTTTGCAGAACCATGTATTTAATGGAGACACAAACTGAGCTTGACTTTTACACATTTAAACACAAACCACCTTCTTAAAAAATGTTGTTGATTACTATTTTATGCCAAGATTTTGAAGTACATAGAATTTTTATGGTGCTATGTTAATCTAATAACATAAAAAATACTGTGCCTTTCTGATAATATCCTTTCAGTTTCAATACTTTCAGATTATTCACCACTGTAATATTTAATTTTTTACCATAAGTTTATGCTGACCAAAATACATTTTCTTCCTATGCAGGAGGAAAAAAATACAAGATTTTAAAATAATTTTTGTTTGTTGGAATCTTTAAAACATGCTTATATCTTTTGATGAAATAACATGATTTTAAATAACCCTTTTTTTGGTATATGGTTGAAAGTATACAACCTGACACATTGAATGTGCAGGCAACTTTGTCCTATTATTGCCAAAGCATAAAAATTTAAGACTTGCTTCCATATCATAACCCTAACAATACTTCATTCATTGGAAGAGATCTGACTTTAAAGGAAAATATTTCTTTTAATTTCAGCCTTTCCAAGGAACATGCAACTTTTCTTCCTTTATAATGTTTTAATTTTATTTTGTGTATTGTTTGCAGAAAACTAATAATAATTTTTAAAGTTTAGAAATAAATCTCTAAGATTTTAGGGTTAATTATTTTTTATTGTTATTAACGTCTCTATTAACACATGTGGCTTTGCTGACAGTAATTTTAAATCACCTCAGTCCTGTATTTAATACTCTCTATGCAACAGATTTATAGTATTTTTTAGTCAGGTCTGTAATGTTTTTCTTAAGTGCCTTTTTCCATATTTACTGTGACAAATAAGACACCACATCATTAATCTAATACAGGACAACCCAGGTCCATAGATATATTTACAATTATTATCATTGTTGATTTGGGTCAAAAACTGATCAAGATAAGGGGGCTAGTAAATTTCTTGTTTTATTGAGTCTTGTTTAGGTGTGCTCCTAAAGAGCACACCTAAAGAAGAAATAAAATCTATTTCTTTATCACTTTGGGAATTGGGAGCAAGGTAAGAATGAAAAATGTTTAATGTCAGCTTCCAAATGGTCTTGTTATAATATTCATCTGCTGTAAATATCTCAGCCACAATCTGAAGTTTCCATACCAGGTTGATATAAACTCTTTCTATTCAGAGAATAAATACTAGATGCTCAGTCTAGTAGACTTCATTTTGTAGTACTAAGAGATTAAAGAGGTTGGCCAGAGCAACATAAAAATTAATTTAAAACAAAAAAACAAACCTCTGTGTCCATGCACAAACACTTGCAAATATACAGGGTTGGAGAGCACGTCTTGTTTTGACTGAGTTTTGGTGTTGTCAGCACCTTTTTGGTGTTGTCTTCTACCTTCATTCCTTCAGGGAATGAAGGTAGAAGAAGACACAGACAAAATGTTTTTCCTGTTGTCTTGGCATGGTAGGCATTTTTGTCTTCCACTTGGTCTAACAGAGAAATAAATGCTCTATGTAGGCATTGTGATTACCTACTACAGGGACCTCTGGAATAGTTCACAAATCAAGTACTTACACGTAATCCCAGGAATTCAATGTCCTGAATAGAGCTCTGGGTACCCACCACTGCAAATGGGACAAGAATTTCTGAGTCATCTCAGATTTTCTTAAAAACTGTGGTTACCCACCACTGCAAATGGGACAAGAATTTCTGAGTCATTTCAGATTTTCTTAAAAACCTGTGGTTACTATCTAATTGCCAATGAGAAAATATGAGGAGGAATATATGATCCCAGTAGATCAGATCTTGCTGTTGTCTAGGACACCAGCAGCAAGGCTGGGTTTCCAGCCCTTGTGATGTTTACCTCAGGGATTTTTCCTCTCTCAGGTACCAGGCTATGCATAACTTGTTCTCATCAATACTAATTCTTTTCCATAAGAGTTTGTATTGTAGATCTTTTTCTTTAACTGTATTCCTGGTTTTAGGAAAAAAGCAACTTCAGGCAAATCTCTTTTCTCTTAGAGGGCTACTGGAATTTATGAAGTCAACAAGTAAGTTTTTTTCAGGGCCAAAGATAAACCTCATATGCAAGCCATTAACACACCCAGACCAGCTTCTGCAAGGTATTTGTGCATGTGTTTAATCTGAGGTCCTGAGACACACAGTGGAAGTCAACGGGGTTATCTGCAGTGTGAAAAATTAAGTCTAAGTTTGTATTAACAAAAGAAAAGCACAACATAATGTAGGAAAATTCTTTCTGTTATATCAGGTGTAGACTACCCAATGTTATAATAATTGCTTAAAGAAACTCCTTGGCTCCTTAAGATTTACCATCTTAATTTTGCAGATATATGTGTTGATATGGAGTATGAATCAGCATGAACATTGCTTAAATAAAAAAAAAAAAACCAAACCAGAAACATCTTATCCACGTGAGGAGAGAAGCAGCTGGGGAGTTCTTTCTATTCTGCTGATAAGGGATGACCTGGAAACAAAAAGCAAATAAAACAGAAAGAAAGAACAAGAAGATGGTATGGAAGGCCAGGAAGATGGAGATGGTATGCAAGGGATAAAGAAAGTGTGCAAAGTAACAGATAAAATGGCTGCAAGGTAGCAGAGGCACCTATTGTGAGAAAAAGTAGGCAGATGGTAGACACTTAATAGTATGAATTAAGATGTGAAATTCACAAGTTTCATGAACAATTTTTCACTTTTAAAGATAAGGCTTTGCTTCCCAGCCAACAGCAACAGGGAAAGGGCTGTGAGTGGACTCAGGCTTTTGCAGGGACTGCTAGCAGGCAGGGGTTTTGACCCTTATCTGCAGTCCGTGCCTGAATTTGCAGGAATTATGCTTCTGTTCATTCAGGGTTCTTGGAAAGCAGCAGATCCATGTTCTAACCAAAAAGCTTGGCAGTATGAACCTCCCAGTACACTGGATCACCAAGAATGTAGTGAGTAAAGGGAATTTCTCAAACCTGATCTTTTTTTTTTTTGTATTCCTGCAAAGGCTGTTCTCCACTGGGAAAAAAATTAAACAAAAGAATCTCAGACTTAAAGTGTTTAAATGTTGGCTCCATTTTTTGCATGTATCTAGAAATTCTGGGCAATTTTTTTTTTTCAAGTGTCTTGTGTTTGGCATCTATAGAAATTTAATAAACTGCTTCCAATTTTAAAGCACAGATTATTGCAGATAGTCCCATCTACAAAATTCTGACACAATACTTTAGAATATTTTTAACTGTGCAAAATGACAAGCCATTTGAGAAAATAAATGCAAACCTTTGCTCTGTTAAGATATTATATGATGCACTTATTCTGTTAATAAATATTTTCTGTTGTTTTTCTTTTCTTCTGTTGTGATGCAGTTTGTTAGCTACAGTTATGTTACACAAACTTCATTCTCCAAGTGGCTGTAATGATTTATCAGTGAATCATCTGAGACTTGGTCTTAAAAGATATTAATGTGTCTTTAAACTTGTTCTGGGAAAAAAAGCCTCTCTGTCTTCAAGATAATCACTCCTTGAGCAAATTTGATGAGTAAAAATATTCAGTTCTGCAAGGAAATGACTCATAGTCTACGCCATAAGTTATTAATTCTAAAATAAGTAATTAGTTCTGTTTCTGCTATTTGCTAAAGTTACACTTTCTGCCTTGGAGAGCTGTTGAACCAGGCCAAATTAGAAGTGTGTAAAGTATTATAATTTTGGTTCTTAGAATTATCTTAACTCTGTAGCCTTGAAACTGGTGCTGATTTTATCTCTGAGGGTAAAGGGAGAGATTTTTGGCAAGGTCAATAGCTGCTAAAAATATTTAATGGAAAGTTAAGAAATTATTACACGGTAATTAACCGTGTGTCTAATACAAGCAGTATTTACCAGGGGTCTGGTAATGGCTTACCCACCAGCTCTTATATAGCTCTTCACATGGGGGAGGAGTAAGTGCCACAGGGAAATAAGTAAAATTGGGAAGTTTTTTGACCTGGAAAAAAGTCCTTTTGGGGCTAGTAAAATATTTTCATTGCTGAAATCTACTTTTTGCCATGATCTGGGCAAGTACCTTGGTGCCTGAGAAATATCTCTCAGCCTCCATTCAGGGAACATAAACAGGGACCCAGGGGTGACAGCTGTGTCCCCTGCAGGCCATTCCCAAGCCACTGGCACGGATGTGGTTTCTTTGGTGGAAGATACATTCCAACACATGTTATGGATTGTACATTCCCTTGGGCCTTGGGGGACTTCAACTGGAATCTTATCCAAATGTCTATTCAGCCCTAAAATGTTCCCATACAATCCAGATCCTTGTGCAGGTATTTTCCAGTCATAATCTCATTTCCCATTGTGTTTAATAAATGTTCAAAAGGCCTTCCCTAAATTACAGACATGCAAATCCTCCAAAGTAGCACCTTATGCTGTTTATTATACAGGTATTTCTGATGAATCATTCATTCTTTCTGCATCAAATATGTCTTTAGATCTTTGATAATGGCTAATCCTTCACTTGTTATTGCTCAGAAAAGAAATCAGATATACTGGAAAAGCCACACAAATATTTACTTGTGCCTCTTGGTAATTATGTACACACCACACTTTTTGCAGTTGCTATGGCTCTAATTCTTTTTCTTGTGAAAGAGTTTGAAAACTTTTGATGAAACAATATTGGGCTGGTTTTCAGGCAAATTACTCAGCTGCCCTTTGGCTGCAGTTGCAGCATTCTCCCACCCCTCTCCTCCAGTTTAACTTCCAAATTTATGGATAAAATGCTGTTTAAAGCTTTGCTTTATCAAGGATGAAAGCAGCCAGGAGGCAGCAGACAGCAGCGGAGCCTTTCTGGCTGTATCTCTCTGTGGACATTTTGAAGCAGGGAGAAGAAGAGGACAAGAGAAGGCAAAGGTTAAGCCCCATGAGCAGCAGCGAAAAACTCAGTGCCTTACTGAATGGGACAAAATGTGATTTCTATTTTTTCCTACTTTCAAGGGCAACACTAGTTTTTGTATTTACAATTCCTTTGTGTTTTCTTGATGATTCATCAGTTAAATATTTTTGGCTCTGTACAGAAATGAACCAGTGGTAGTGGGGATACAACATGGCCTTGAACACCGGCAGGGGCTTCCCCTCTCCAAAACACACACACTAAGAAAGAATGCTAAATTACCCCAAAGGGAATTGCTAGTAGTACAAAGAGCGGTCAAAAGTCTCCTCTAAGGAAAGCACCAATGGGATATTTGGGAAAAAAGTTTATGCATAAAGGCAATGGAGGCTTTATAGCTACACGTGGTTTATGGGTTTTTCTGCCATGGCTGTCTGTGCAGGACATTGATGCAATCCAGAGCTGTGGTGAGTTACATGGTGAAAGAAAATCCACCTGCTGGTTGTCTATCCCACCACCACCCCATGGCAATAGGGACCTGTTGCCACCTGTGCTACCAAACTCTCGCTGCTTGTTGTGAGTTTGAGCTCTGACCCAGCCTTCATAAACAGTGGATGTGAACAGAGACTTCCAAGGGTTTGGCCACTAACATTTTAGGTTTTATACATTTGCATCCACACGGAGGATGTATGATGACATTTTTAGTGAGTTGAAACAGTAAGCTCTGTAAACAAAAGCTGCCTGATATTCTCCTCTCATTTATAATGCTTAGTCTTGAAGGGAAATTTGACCCATCGCATAGTGTATCTATATTTACTTGTTGTAGAACATTATACACTAGCCATTTGTGACCTGTAAATTTCTTTTTTTCTGAAAGAAATGAAAAGGAAGCCAATACTCAAAAGGGAAAGTAGCTTTGTCAGTGTTCAATTTACTACTCAATTTACTTCCTTGCTTGCCAATTAATCTGGTACAACAGTGATCTGTGATCCAATAATGCTGCTCATTCAATTGATGTGCTCGAGTCCTTCACATCTTGAAACTGATTTTTCCTTAGCAGTTCATGCTAGATAAAATCAGGCAACTGTGTGAAAACAGTGTCCACAAGCTTTAAAACCCCCCCAAAAAGCTGCCAGTAATTGTATTTCATTATTTCATATGTTTCCTACTTCATTTCTTTCTTTCTTTCCTGCCTATCTTGGATTCTGAGTGAGTGAGAATTCCACTTTAAATGTTTTTTAACTGTGCTCATTTTGGATTTTCACCTCATTTAATTAAATAATGCCTAAGCATGGCTGTATAACAAGGAGCTTGGATTACTGTTTAAGAGAAGCCACTTTAAGTTGCTATTAAGATAACAGCTGCAAACAGAGAATGAAAGGCAAAATCACTGAAAGCAAACTAGTGTTCATAGCTCTAAGACAACACATCAGATCTGGAGCTAGCCCTGGGAAATGCTTTTGTAAGCTTTGAGTCAACATAAACACAGGCTGCCAGCTGAAGGAACAATCTTGTGACATCCTTACAAAACAACTCTGGGAAGCCCTGACAGCTCCTCCTGCCACAGATGCTGATGGAGGGAGAAGCCACTGGCTCTGGACCCCAGCAGCAAGCACAGGGTTTTATTGCCTAGGCACATCCTGCTCTCCAGGGGAAACTGATTTAATTTCACTGGTTTAAATGACTGCAAAAATAGCAATTATTTGATCCTATTAATCAAGTTATACTACCTGGGCTGCAAATGGCTCCTATCACAAGATTCGCTGTAATGACAGTTTCAAATAAAAAGCAATTGATCCCTGACAGGGAAATGTGCCTGTGTGGGATCCACATCTGCTCAACACCTGCAGAGATCTGGCAGAAACTTGGTTGGTAGCTGGCTGTGGGTGAGGTTTATTACACCAGTTTTTGAGCCCACTGCTAAGGCAATGTCTTGTTGCAGCAGCACAACCTTCTAGGGCTAATCCAAGGACAAGGCACAGAAGAGAGCAGTTAGAGATGTTTCAGAAAGGTCTTGTGGCATTTCTTTACGCACCATTTATGAAAGAGAACATCGCAACTCTACAGAAAGGGCAGAATCTCCAAACTCCAGTACGTACAATGAACCTGCCTTCCCTCCCCTTCTCCCCAGCGCAACAAAACAGCACAAATGAAAAGCACTGTAAGTATTGGAAAGAACTCAGGAAATGCCATGCTTCATTATATCCCTATTTGCAGCCCTTCCTTTAATACTCAAGGAGGAGCCAGGGCTGTAAGCACAGCCTGATTGCCAAACCCATGCTGGCCCTCATGCTCATCTCTTGCCACAGCTGTCAGAGCCCACATGCAGAGCCAAAATTACACAGTCCTGGGACAGAGGGGTGCAGCCACCTACTTTTCAAGGCCTCAACGTCATTTTCTTTTTTTAATTTGGCTAAGATTACTCTTCCAAGTAAGTATTTTTAGACACATCAGAAGTCACATTTCTGGATCTAGAAGCCGGGTCCCTCTTCCTAATTTGAAAGCAAAATTTTTGTAAATTTTTAGGCTTGTCTGGCAACATTACTGTGGAACCAGCTCCTGGTAGAAACATGATAAAGATAGAGTTCAGACTGACTGATGGGACAAGACTGGTTGGAAACAAAGCTACCTGTGCAGCAGATAATTACTAAAATAAAATAAAACAAACCAAAATAAAATAAAATAACAGCCATTATTAAGAAGATTTTACAGGATGTCTTTTTTTCTACTACTTATTGACTATGTGCATGGAAAAAAAATGTTTTGCTTTGTTTTGTTTTCTTTTTATTTTAGTAAGATGCCAATGTCATCTTTTAGCAGAAGGCTTTTTAGGCAGCTCCACCAATTACAGTATTAGGATTTAAGCAGATAGTGTTACATGCCCTGGGACAACCTAAAGGCAGTAGGGATGGTGATGATGATCAACGTACTCATGAGACTGGTTTTTGGAAAACAAGCAAACAAAACACAGTCCAGATATTACGGCCATTAATACCCACAAAACTTTCCATGACAGCTGAGCAGTTTAGACCTGTGCCCTGCCTTTCACTATTGTCTCTTCCATATTCACAGCTGTGGTAGTTTGAAATAGCTTGGGTTTTGGAGAGGATGGTTCTTTTCCTTGCACAGGATTCTTTCCCTTGCTACCTGTGTCACATACATGTGCCATGAATAAATGCAACTAGCAAGGAAAAGAAAACTGTGCTCTCAACCTGTTAATGCTACCACCATCCTTATCTGAGAGTCATCTAAACATGCTGTGTCCTGTCTCTTCCCTCACCTCTCCCATATCCTCCAGAGACGTGCAGCTGCTTTTTGCTTCTGTCTCTCCTGCCAGGTGCATGAGCAAGGCATATGAAGGAGAAACAGAGGTTGAGGATCCTGCATTTGAGGGTCTGAGGAAGATGGATAGTCCCATCTCCTCCAGAGCCCCTCTGCCATTATTGCAGCATGCTGAATTCTCCCAGGACAGTTCCTGATGTT